ATAAAATGTACATACCCGTCGGGTCCGTACCACGCTGTCGTGGGATCACGGAAAGCGCTTGCGTTGATGCCGTGGTCGGGGCTGATGATTGGATTGTAATCGGGCTTGACCCACTGCCGGAGGTATGGGTCGGAGAGGTTGGCCGGGTACGCGACGTTCTGCACCTGGTTCTTGTGGGGGTCGATGCCGGTGTACATGATGACGGGGACGCCGTTGGGCAGCAGTGTGGCGGAGCCCGACCAGCAGCCGTTGACGTCGAAGGGCATGGTCGGGTAGATCGCAGGCTCCAGCGCCACCCAGTGAATGAGGTCGGTGGAGACGGAGTGCGCCCAGATGATGTTCCCCACACGGCGCCCTTGGGGTTGTACTGGTAGAAGAGGTGGTACAGCCCTTTGTAGTACATTGGCCCTGCATCCATCCGCACGCACGTAAGCTAGGTTTAGATACATGCAGCTGGGTCGCACAGTGCCATGCAAACAAATGTCCACACTAGTTAGTAAACTACTACTCGACGTACCATTTTGATCTGATTGGTTGTTGCGTCGTCATGGGAAGTAGGGTCAATGCCATGCAAACAAGAGGCGACCAGAAATGAGTAACAGAAAGAAGAAGATGATCCACAAACATGCAGAGGTGTAGATGGATCGAGAAAACAGTATTTACCATTGATCCAGTTCTTAGGGGGCTGGAAGTGGTAGCCGGTGCGCAGCTCCTGTGCAACCTCCTTGGTCTCCAGCGACTGGAGCTCCGGATAGATGACATGCGACGCGTGCACCGCCGTCGACGCCGTCCAGCACAACAGCGACACAACGCATAGCGCCGCCGCTGCCGTCCCCATTTCCTCTCCTTTCAGCAGTCAGCACGCAACCCTAGCTCGAGAGAGAGATGAGTGAGTGAGTGAGCAATGCGGTGTGTGTTTATAGCCGAGTTTGGATAAGCAGTACACATGGGATGGACTGAGGACTGAGGTCCTAGGATTCCACGTGGTGGCCGTGCTGTGTTGACAGTCAAAAGACTTGGATAAGAAGGCACGCATGGAATGGAGTCCTAGTATTCCACAGGGTCAGGGTGGACCGCCCGCGCGCATGGATAGGCCACCAGCTCTCCTCTCCTATATAGCTAGATGGTCCACGGCGAGCGTCGCCGGCCGCCGCCGCGCTCGCCGCGGCGTGCTGCTGCTTTGGATACGGCGACCGCGTAGCCGCCGTAGGTGGATATATAGGTGCACGATGTATACAATGGGTTAACTTAACTCCGCACGTGCCCCTCCGTTTAATAAATGTAAATTCCGTACGTGTAGTGTAATAGCTTAGAACTTGATTGAGAGGGTGCTTGGATCCAAGGAACTTATTTTAGAGTGTGCTTGGATATGTTTTAGTCCCATGACTAAAAGTAGTGGGACTAAAACATGCTAGCCTCACCCATGCTTGGATTCAAATACTAAAAAGGCTAAAATCAAGTTAATGAGCATTTATTATCCTCCAAACCCTTCAATCTAGAACTCGCCTGTGTTAAAGGAAAGGAGTTAAATGAGTAGAGAGAGGACTAATCCACATTTTAGCAGGGGTACCCCTGACTAAAATTTTTTAGTCTTAAGACAAGTTTTAGCCCCTCTTTAGTCAGGGTTGCTTGGAACTTTAGCCTCTTAGTCTGACTAAAAATGGTCTCTTTAAGAGGCTAAAGTTCCAAGCAACCCTGACTAAAGAGGGGTTAAAACTAGGGAGATTTTACGGTGCATTATAATACACCAGAGCACATGTATTATATGACCGATCTAACGGATGAGAATAATTGGGCCTTTTTAAGCCCAAGGGTATTTTCGACCTAATTTTTTTTACCTTTAATCGGCCCAATTTGGTCCAGGGGTATTATCGTCCTAAATTTTTCGATTAAATTAAGTGCATTAATAAAGCACTTCATTATAGAGGTCCCATCATCGTGCGTACTCTTTTGAATTTCGGTTCGAGCGGTTCGTCCTCTCTCCTCCTCTCGAGCCCTAACCTCGGGCGCCCTCGATCGCCGCCGATCGCCTCCGGCGCCCTCGATCGCCCCCGGCGCCCTCGATCGCCGCCGATTGCACTCGCCGTGTCTACCCCTCCTGCTCCTACTCCCCCTCACTCCCTCCATCGCAAGTCACCCCAGACGGGTCGCGGCGCCAGATCCTTCCCCGAGCGGACGCCACCTTCCCCGACCCGAGAGGCCACATCATCCTCATCGACGTGCATCAACTTTTTCATGCCGGATCTTCGCTGTAAGTGCCTACCCATCTCAAATCTTTTCTGGTCCCTTCTGCATATAGAACCAATAGGGGTCGGATTTGATTCGGGTTTAGGATATGTCATGTGAGGTTTAGGGTTTATCGTTTCAGAAAGTTGTGAGGAGATTTCGGTCGGATTTGATTAGGGTTTAGGATATGTCATCTGAGGATTAGGGTTTATCTTTTCAGAAAGTTGTGATGAGATTACGATTGAAAGGAAGTGTAAGTCGGATGTAGCTACGACATATTGAAGGACTTAGTTAGGATTATGTGGCATGAGAAAGTTGTCAGCAGATTTGGATTCAAAGAAAGTTATTTTGGATTTACTTAGGAGGTACTTTTGAACTGAGTTTCGAGATATTTTGGATTTAGTTAGGAGATAGTTATTTTGTATGGAGTTTGGACTTATTTTGGATTTAGTTAGGAGATAATTTGGATTTAGTTAGGACATACTTTTGGATTTTGTTACGAGATAATTTAGATTTAGTTAGGATATAGTTTTGAATGGAGTTTGGAGATAATTGATCTATCAGGGTGGATCTATCAAGGCATTTGAAGGACTCGTGGACTTTGGATTTAGTTAGGAGATCATCAGTTAGAGCTAGTACAATCAATTACAAATTTCTGGATTTAGTCAGGGCATATTTACTTACATCTTTTGAAGGACCGAGTTAGGTACATGAATCCGATATGAAAAATTAAATCAATTATTTAAGCAGAGTAGTGCATAATTTCGGTAACATATGCTATCCATCCGTAACATTGACTATCTGTTTCCGCTGACAGCATAACGACATGGATGATAAAGGCAACGATGGCAAAAACTTGGGTGATACAGGCAAGGACGACAAGGACATGGGTCATAGAGGCAACAAAGGCAAAGGCATGGACCCCAAAGGAATGGATGGTATGTGCATGGATGATAAGGATAATGAGGATGCAGGCAAGGATGGCATAGACATGGATGATGTACACATACAAGGTAAAGGAATTGATAATAAAGGCATGGCTGGTTCAGACCCGAATGAGTGTATGGAATACTTAGAGATTGTGAAGAAGACGTTCAGGACTGAGGAAGAAGCCTACATGTTCTACGTAGGCTATGCGAGAAAAAAGGATTTGGTGTTAGAAAGGATGATCTGAAGTACAGGGGTCCGGGTCTGAAACAAAATGCATACAGAAGGACATACAAGTGCTGCAAACAAGGATGGCGGGCCCTTAAGCACTTTAACAGAACTGAAAGAAAAAGAACACCGAGGGGTCTTTCTCGGTGTGGGTGTCCCTCTCTTTTTCAGGTTGAGCTACAAGATAGCAGTGGCCTCTGGTTCGTCAAGAATTTTGTGGAGAAGCATAACCATCTGTTTGTCCCTGCTGACCTGACTCCGTACTTGTCGGCTCATCGTAGAATGTCTGACGCACAAAAGGCCGATGTCATCGAGTATGCTGTCGGTGGACTTCGAACACATCAGATTATGAATGTAATGGAGAAGAATGCCAGAGGTCCTGACAAGCTTGGATTTATATATCGAGATCTATACAACCATGTTTCAGTCCAGAAGAAGCGCAAGATAGAAGGCGGTGACGCTAGATATTTGCTCACCTATATGATTGCACAGAAAAAAGCAGACCCAGAATTCTTTTTCAAATACACAAAAGACAGTGAAGGCCATTTGAGGAACATATTCTGGGCTGACTCACAATCCCGCATTGACTATGTTGCCTTTGGTGGTGTCGTGGTGTTCAACAGTACATATCGGTCTAACAAGTACAGGCTTCCGTTTGTTCCATTTGTTGGTCTCAACCATCACTGCAGCACAGTTTTTTTTGGGGTGGGTCTAGTGTCAGACGAGACAGTTGCATCATACCAGTGGATTCTTCATGTATTTTTGGAGGCAATGTCCCAGACGGCACCAATTTCAGCAATCACCGATGGGGACGGTGCAATGGTTAAAGCAATAGCTACTGTCTGGACCGGAACAGATCATCATTTGTGCACGTGGCATATTGAGGAGAATATGGTGATGCACCTCCGCAAGGAAAAGTTGGAGCAATTTAGGGAATTCATTTACTGTCGTTGGGATGTTGATGAGTTTGAGAAAAGATGGGAGGCTTATAAGGTTCGGTTCAAAATAAAACCAACGGGCAAGAGGTCGTCATGGGTTAACAGGATGTACAAGCTGCGACACAAATGGGTTGCTGCGTACACAAAGGGTAGATATTTCCTAGGCATGATGAGTAATCAGAGGAGTGAGTCTCTCAACTCAAGGCTTCATGTGCACCTGAACAGGAAGATGCAGCTTGTTGATTTGTTGCAGCATGTTGAGC